CGTAGGGTCTCAAAAGAATAAAAATAAATAACAAAAAAAAGTCAACAACCAAAAAAAGCAGACTTACCCAGCCTGAACATCTCACTGCAACTAAAACAAAATTAAGATACATTCACAAAGCAATCTCATACTGCAAGGTCAAGGTATGAGTCTACTGATGGGGGTCCCACTTTATTTTTCTCATAAAAACTGTGATTTCTAGCTTGTTTCTTAAATATGGAAAGAAATCTTACAACTACCTGAAGAGTAATGTTATTACAGAATCTTCTATAGATTGGGTTTTTTTTTTGCTCCCAATCATTTTAGATTATCTCACCCTCCCCTATTTCAACTGTAACTGAATTTAAGCTATTTTTCTGTCTTGAAAGTAGTCAGCTGTTTCTGATACAAACACACCTTTTGCCTTCAGAGTTTACTGAATAATATTTCATTAAACTATATAAATACATGAAGTGTAACTGCCGTTGTCATGTACAAACACAAACAATTTGCAGGAAGGGCACAATAACTAGTTGGAAAAACATTCAAGAGCAAACTAGAAAATAGTCTACAATCACTCAATGTAACATAGGCATTAGTCAGTTAATTCCACAGAATGAAAAGTATCATTTAATCTCATGTGTGGGTGAAGCAGAGGTCAGTATAAAAGACATGCTGTAATAGGCCCTTCCCAAGAGTCTGGTTTTTCTACTCAGCAAATCAACTCTCTAATAATTCATACATATCAGCAACTTGTGAAGTGAAAATAAAACTTTTATAGTATCATATCTTGCAACTTTATATGTATTTTCTGAATTTTGATGAAAAACATAATAAAACTATTATTCTCACACTCTGTGTATGCATATGCACATGTGTGCATGAGTGTAGCTATCAGCTAAAGAAAGTACTACATAACACAAAATCATATAAATAAATATAAATTTGAATACAACTCCAAATATAATGCTAACACTATAGAAAAAGTATTACAATTTGTTTAAGAAAAATGAAAAATATGGCTAATTCATCCCCTTTAATTCATTAAAAGATATTTCAAAGTGGGGATGAATTAGTCATATTTTCATTGATTATAACTGATACATCAAAGAAAATGACCAAAAAGTATATCTGACCACCCAAACATAAATACAAGTCCTTTGGCAAAAATTCTAAGATGATAAGCAGGGTATAGACAAAAACAACATAACCAATCACTTAACTGCAGTCAAAAACCCGAACAGTACATACTTGCCTCAGGTTCTGTAATGGAAGGGAACTCCAACATTCAGTTTCTAAATTCCACCCTTGAGAAGGTGACTAGAAAAAAGGTCCAAGACAGCCTCCACTGTCTCTGAAAGCTATCTATCCCCACACATAACTCCCTTATTCTACATCTTCTTAGTTCAGCAGTGCACCAAAGTCACTTCACATTAATGGATAATACATACTTGATTTCTACACATTGAAAATTCAAGTATGGTTCTGACCTGTAGACCAGGACAAAGGTAATGCTCTGAGATAGCTTACATTACAAGAACCATAGTGTCTGTACTTACAGAATTTCTACAGTTAGAAAAAGACAGATACCCAAAGACTTCTAAAAGAAATATCTTCAATACATAGTACTACCAAACAGTACAGATACATACAACAGTATCAAGTAATTGATAAGTGCTTGAGAAAGAACAAAAAGATGAAAACTTGGGGAGAGGATCATTGATGGTTTAAGACTTAGAAGTCAGAAAAAAGCTGATTCTAACACATATTGTGCTACTCCCAAGATAAATATCTTCAACATGTTACACTCTACAAGACTAGTTCTTGCTCTCAAAAATGGGAGTCACATCATCTAATTCACAGTTGCCCTAACATTATCATTTATAGTCTCTCTACAGAGCAGGTACTTAAATTGTAAGATACTGTGGTTTTGAGAAAGTTCAATGTAATACAAATTCAGTTACAATTTTGAATGCTCAAAAGGAAATAGAAGAAAAAAAACTTTCCCTGTAACATGGTTCTTCATGCACTCAGAAACTAAAGTTGTGAGTATATTCGTTTTCTGTGCAATCTTTTGATAATAATTAAGCTTGAGGTCAAATTATTTTAGGATCATCTGACATTTAAGATAACTAAAAAACCCTCATACAAATTTATCTGGAACTGTGGACATTTCTCATTTTATCACCCCACTGTTACAGCTCATGCCTTTCATTATAGAATCTTTACATTTCACTTCATCCACAGCAAATCTCACTCTCAACTATATCAACAGGAACAGAACTGTCCTATGACTTATAATTTGTTTTATTTAACATTTCAGCATTCTCTTCACTCATTTTAATACACTCTGTGGGGAAGCCCTTTGAAAGGAAATCATCACTCATCTCATTCTGGGAGGGAAATATGAACCAAAAAGCTACACCAGAATAATGGTATATTCCCAATATGGAGGAGATTGTAGGATGGATCAGAATACAAAGAAATTACTGGAGACTGTCCCATTTGTTCCTGAGTCACATTTTTATAGTATCGATTTGTTTCATGTAAAACCAATTACCAGATTACCTAACACACCCACATTCAAAAGCAAGTTAAAAAATAAAAGTTATATATAAACTGTTTTAGATCATATACTTTTCTGCTTTCCTTCAGTAACATAAAAGATACAAGTTACTATTTTTGATAGCATGTGTTTCCTTAAACTTACTATTCCTATTTGGTTACCTAATATCAGCAAAGAACATATACATTTGGACCTTCACACCTCGAACTGACTCACTTTAAAGCCAAGGCATTTTGGACTTCCACAGTCCGATCTCCACCTACTTTCACAGCTTCCTCTTCCACAAGGACCTCCGGGTACTGCAGCCTTATGTCCAGCTCAACAGGTCCTATGATACCCAACCACATAGGACCTGCACTCAGACCACTCCCTTCACCTAGAAAAGTACTGCCCTCAGATCTCATTTTGCCTATTAAAATATTTTAAGACCCAGATAGAGTGTTACCAGCTCTATACTCACTCATAATTCCTCAATCAAAACTGTATGTCCTACATACATAGATGTACACACACACACACACCCCCTCATGCTTCCATGCAGCTCTAATAAAACCCACAGGAATCTGGTGTTGCAACTGTTTCTGAGCATGCCTGCTTCTACCTTCAAGGCAGCTACTGAGTCTCAACTCATCTTTATATTCTACCCACTTTTCCAATACCACCAGATGGCAAAAGTCCTTTACATATAGAAAAGGCACGAGTTGAAATAAATTATTCCTTGATTCTATCCCGGCATTTTATTTTTAAAGAATAAATGATATTCAGGTTTGAAGATTTTGCTAATACAGTATTAATATGCACAAATCTAATAATGAAAAATCAATAATTACATAATTAATTTTTTAAGTTGACAAATGGCAAAAGAGGTCAATAATCACTATAAATCAATAAGGATATTCATTCCTCAAGACCTCCAAAAAAAGTCTCATCTATAAGAACATTAAAATGAACATTTCTGTGTGCCTCATTCTAGTAAGAACTACTTCTACCTAATGCAGATCCAGAAATGCAAATTCACTTAAAGCAAAAGTTATCTATAGTCTGTTAAAAATTATACCAGAACTATACAATGTATTTAACACCGTTCTTCTAATGCCTATAATTTTCATCTTTTGCACTACTATTAAGGCTAACATCCATAAAAGATGAAGATAACATCTTAGCTCAAGATACAGCTAAAGCAAAATTTAGAAATAATTACAAAACACTCTAAGGACATCTTTAAAAAACAAAAAAGTACCAAGAATGTCACAAATCAGATTTGATTTTTTGCGGAAATTTTCTCTTAAACCATTCTCACATCTTTCTAATTCTAAATTACGCTTATAATAATCTATATGATTTATGTCTTCCACAATGTACTTATATATGAGGAAAAGGAATTTCTTTCAAAGAAACATGCAGTACACGGCTTTAAAAATTGTTTTTAATTTCAAAATAATCCACTTTATAGTTCAATTATCTCTTACTATCTGTTGTCAAATGACACTCATAATGACAACAACTGCAAAAGTAAAAGAAACAAACGGCCTCTTTTCTTAATTTATTAAAAATAAGTAGATTTTCTAACAGAAGGTTTAAAGACTGAACAGCCTGGGTACTCAACCCAACAGAGTTAAAACTAATTTGTACAGCAACAGTGCCTGTGTCTGTCTGTCTGTCCGTCTGTCCGTCTCTGCCCGCCCCCCCATTAACTTTTCTTCCCTCCCCGTAAGGTGGGGTGGGAACCTGGAATGACTGTGACACAGGCCTCTCCACCCCCGCCACGCGGGCACGCACACCTCCATCACCACACGCGGACAAGCAATGTGGGGGCCGCGGACCCAAAACTCCACTCTTCGCCGCCACCTGCCCCGCGTCCGGGATAAACAAACCCGCCCCGGCCCGGCAGCGGGACCGTGGCGGTGACTGCGCCGCCCAGACCAGAGCCCCGGGCAAGTTACGAGCGGCGGGGACGCGGGGGGCGGCGAGCGCGGCGCCTTCCCGGCC